ATGGGTGGTTCCGACTGGAGAAATGATTTTGATTTTGATCTTGAGGGCATCAATTGAATGCGAACTTGGCTCGTTGAGGAAGGAAACAATTTGGGGATCAAACTTCACCTCGGATGAGGATATTGCTCTTGTCAGAGGATGGTAAGATATCACACTCGATGCTGAAGCGAATCGAGTACCGTTTCAAACATCATCTTGGGCATAAAACGAATCGTACCCTAAAATCTCTCACAAACCAACGGGGTATGACTTAAGCGATGTGCAACTGTTGGGTGGGTTTTGTGGAGCAATTGAAGAACGCTCCCCCTAGCGGTGTCATGATTGATCAATATGTAAGCAATCTTGTGTTTTGATCGTCACATTTGTATTTCTTTGAGCATTTGTATGTTTTAGGATAACATAGCCAAAGAAAGATATCGAAAAATGATCAAGTCAAAGAAAAAAATCGTTTGGCCTCCAACATTGTTGAAATTTATTAGAAGGCCACGAGAAGTGGAAGTTGAGGAATAATGAGGATAGTCCAAGAACTTGGAAGTGCAACAATTCCTCTCTGGAATTGGATGACCGTAAAGATGATGAGGGTGGTGGAGAGGAAAGGGAAAGCGTGCCTAGAAGTCCCACTCCGGCGTCTAGCGCAATAGGAGGAAGAGAGGAAATGAGAATTTCAAGAGAGAAGGAGAGGTGGAGGTGATGCAAAAAAGAATGATGAGTTGATGATGACAAGAAACGAGTACACGGAGAAGAGTAAGCAAGAAAATATGGAGATGGATAAGAGGAAAATCCAAGAGAAGAGGGCGATATGTGGTGCTATGCAAGAGATCAAACAGAGTCGAGGAGATGGAGACGTAGGCTCAAAATTTAGGAGCGTCAATTGAAATTTAGGAGCGTCAGTGACAACTGATGGATTGCCGAGGAGAATCGACTCATCAAGTTGGATCAGAACTCCATGGATCTAGTGACGCAAGAATTTTGAAAGAAGGCATGAATGACAATCATACGTTCCAGAAACCTCAGAGGAGGGGACAGTGCACAAGACGAAGAAAGGGACGACGCACAACTGATAATGTGTGATTTGTTCATGTCGTCAACTAAATATTATTGTTTGTGCAACCTTTTAGAAACTTCTAATTTGAAAGGCAATTGAAAAGTCCAAACGGGGATTATGAAAAAGATAAAAGCTGATATATAAGAGTATCTACAACCGGATGCCTCATATTGGCCCTGAATGTCTGGGAGGCTTGCTCGTTCTCTATCCGGACACGATTTTTCCATCCAATCAGACCTGACAATGTCGGATTTCGGGATCCGGCAACCCGTGAGAGATTCGAACATTGGGATGCGTGCGGAGATCTCAACCTGCCCGGCCTGCCTACTCGCGATCCTCCCTAGCCTAGCGCGAAGAGCTCACAGAGACGCAAAGACACAGAGATTTATACTGGTTCAGGCCACCGTTGTGGTGTAGTACCCTACTCCAGTGTGGTGTGGTGGATTGCCTCGAGGGGCTATGGATGAACTAGTTACAAGGATGAACAAGCCTCAGGAGGTGAGGTGTTCTTGAGCTGGTGTGGTGTTCTACTTGCTCTGGTTTTCGTCCCTTTCTATGGTGGTGGCTAAGTCCTATATATAGTCGCCTTGGTCCTATTCCCAAATATGAGCGGGAAGGGATTCCACAATGGCGGGATTTGAAAGGGGACAAGTAGTACAGTCTATCCTGACAAAAATAGTCTTCGCCTGCGGAAAGCCTCTGGCCGTGACGCTGCGGCGGGCTCGGTGATGACCTCCGTCTTGCCGTCCTGGCGCTCTTGGTCTTGTTGCACCAGAATGGAAACCTTTGGTTGATTCCTCGGGACTCCGCGTCTGTGTCTTGCCTCCCTTGCACTGAAGAGGAAACCTGCACTCTGCGCCCGCCTGGCCTTGGTCGTCATGGCTCACGTCAGCTGAGCCTCATGAGGTAGCTGCATAGATCTCTCCGCCCCTCAGGAGCCCTCCTGAGGAGGCCAACTCCTTCAGGGGTCTTGGCGTCGTCCGCCTCGCGAGGCTTGGCCCCTCGCGAGGGTCTTGCTGGGTTGGTGCTGAAGCTGGGCCATACCAGGCCACCGATGGAGCCACGTGGTGGGCCGCAGGCAGGCAGGACTGGATACCCCCAATTCCAGGACGCCGACTGTAGCCCTCGGGCCCAAGGCGCACCCGGGCTTGGCTTCCAGGCGAAGCCAAAGGGCAAGGGCGGAGCGCTGCGAGCCCTAACCGCCTGCGGCCTTGATGACGCGTGGTGATTGACTGGACGTGGGCGACTCCGCTTCCCCACACTGCCTCGGCAACTGCTCGACTTGACCAGTCGATGATGCATGCAGGGGGTCATGATGGCGCGGGGGCGTGGAGGCCAGTGGTTGGCCTCCCTTGACTATAAATGTGAGAGAGGGGCGGAGCCCCCTGTCCATCTTCCCTTCGTCTTGCTCCCGCTTGCTTCTTTCCTCTCCGTCTTGCTCCCATGGCGTCGCCGAAGAGGTTCTCAGCGGCCGAGAAAGGGAAGGCCCCCAAGGAGGGGCCAGCCTCCCCTCCTCCCAAGAGGGGC